ATTCTTAAAGTATTATAAATAGACTATATTGAGAATAAGCTTAAACATTAGTTTTTTTTTTTTTTTTCTCTTGGTGGTATCAGGGATTGAACTCAGGACCTTGAACTTGCCAGGCAAATCCTTATTTCACTGAGCTATCTTCCTGGTCCAACATTACTGTTTTTTTATGACTAAAAATGATAAAGGATGAGGTAGAATAGACTTCAGCAGATTTCATAGCCCTAGACCCCTTAATTAAGTTTGCACTGGCTAAATGCTGATGGCTTTTTAGGAAGCAGCTCTGTGTTGTTGAGTATCCACTCTTTAATGCAAAGACTGATGTTTACTTTCTCAAGTGGTTCAATCTCACTAACTTGTAAGCCCTTAACAGACTCCTAATAAAAGACCAATTTGTAAAACTGGACCATTTTTTAATGCTTTTACAATTTAATACATAGGGTTTTTTTGTGAATGTAGTCATGACAATTGTTCATCAGTATTCAAGTTTGGTTTTCCTGATTGGTCTGTAGTCTTCAATAAATTTAAGAAGTTATTGTATGAAACATCTGTCTACCTACTAAGACTGCATTTATGCATCCAACATTTTCAGGATTGTTGGTTACCTGGACATATTTATCTCAAATAACCTTGCCTTCTTGTGTCACAAGGTTCAGCTCACTCACATTCACCTCAGTCACTGTTCCTTTGGTAATAACACCCAAAGTTTTATACAGTAGCAATGAAGGATTCTTTTTTACACCAAGTATTGGCAGGCAAAAGGTGGCTTTCAGTTCAGGATGTGTTACATGGGCCTTTTAAAAATGTAAGCCCATTAGCCTAATGAATCTTTCATATTTAGGTGGTTTTCTTATAAAGCCACCTGCATTAAAGCAGACTTTAGTAGCCTTCCTCTTCCATGCCTTTTTTTCTCTCTTTCCAGTTCAAATAACTTTTAATACTTCCATTTCTCCTTGGGCACGAACTTTGGGCAGAGGATCTTCCCATTTTCCCTCCTTTTTGTTTCGTTTTTGTTTAATCCTGTTGGAAAGTACTTTTGCATGAGACTGTCCTTCTTTGTCCAGCAGATAGGGAGGTACTGCTCCTTGTAGAATCTTTTCATTGTTCTTTTGTTTGGTGTTTCTCTTTTCATGCATCTTGATAGTCTTCATTTGTATTTTCTCCACATACCATTGTTTGTGGTAGAGTTTAGCCTTCAGGCTAATCTTTTTTTTTTTTTTTTTTTTTTTTTTGCCTTTAGGGAAATTTATAGCAGTGAATTCTTATATCAGAGAAACAGAATAAGTTCAAATGAACAACATATGTTGAACTTCAAGCTTCTAGAAAAAGAAGAGCAAATCAAGCCCAAAGTCCATATGAGAGAGAAAATTATAAATATTAGAGAAGAAATTATTGCAGTGGAGACAAAGTAATATAAAACATCAATAAATCAAAAAGTTGGTTCTTTGAAAAATTAAATAAAATACATAAAGAATTAGCCAACCTTACCAAAAGAGGAAGGAAAAGACTCAAGTCCATGCAATTAGGAATGAAAAAATTTAAATCACAACAGATCCTGCAGAAATCCAGAAGAGCATCTATACCTTCCTGGAACCCATATTCTAATAAGATGGAAAAAAGAGGAATTAGATAGATTCTTAGATACATATGAATGACTAAAGCTGAATCCAGAAGATATAAATATTCTAAATAGACCAATATCAGTCAATGAAACTGAAAATGTAGGTAAAATCCTACCAGCAAAGAAAATCCCAAGCCCAAATGGATTCACTACTCAAATTCTACATGAAATTTAGAGAAGACCTAATGTTACTACTTTCCAAAGTCTTGGATGATTTTAAAGTGGAAGCAATGTGCTCCAATTCATACATGGAAGTAAGTACTACCTTGATACAAAAACCAGAGGTATATTTAAGCAATTTTACATCTATATTCAATCTCCTTAATGAATACAGATGCAAAAATCTTCAGTAAGATACTGATAAACAGAATGCAGCAAATCATCAAGATTATATAGCATGACTAAATAATCTACATCCCAGGGATGTAAGATTGGTTCAACATATGCAAATCAATAAACATAATACACCGTATTAACAAGACCAAGAACAAAAATCACATGATCATCTTGAGAGATGCAGAAGAAGGTTTTACAAAGTCCAACACTCATTCATGATAAAAACACTACAGAAAATTGGAACAGATCATATTTATCTCAATCTGATGAAAGCCATCTATGTCAACTCAACAGCTAGCACCATACCAAATGAACAATAACTGAAAGTTTTCAGTCTAAATTTAGGAATTAGATAAGGATGTCCACCATCATCACTCTTAGTGTAGTTCTTCAAGCACTAGTCAGAGCAATTAGGCAAGAAAAATAAATAAAAGCAATAAAGATAGGGAAGGAAGAAAAATTATCATTTATTTTTTGGTGACAAGATAGTCTACACGGAAGACTGCAAAAACTACTAAAAGATTTCTAGGTTTAAGAACTCATTTTGACATACTACATGAATAAAGAACTTCCCAGAGCTGCCAACCTTACAGTAGAGGTTGAGTGGTAGTATATTTGTCCTACATAAAAAAGAACTCATTTTGAATAGGAATTCACCTTATCCTCTTGTCACAATAAGCAGCCTGAGTTTTTATAAACACTATTGTTCAAATAGTCACTCTACATCTCCTTCCTACCCTTCCACAACAAAGCTACTCATGCTACAGAGTCAACTTTCAATATATATAGTGAAGAAAGATCCAGTTTTCTTTCTTTCTTTCTTTCTTTCTTTCTTTCTTTCTTTCTTTCTTTCTTTCTTTCTTTCTTTCTT